TTGTGAATCGTTTGACAAAAAACTAGAATTTTATTTTATCCCGGTTTTTATATTAAAATAACATAAATCTATCTAATAATTGATTTGCAAATGGCAAGTTTATTTGTTGCCAAGCATCAAATATATTATGTTCAATGTGTAACAAAAGCAGTGATAATAATTCTGATAATAATCCATGACTGGACTGATTGACATTTGCCATAGTGATTGAGTTAACGTTATAAGCCACCACGCACTAAAAATATGACGTTACTAAGATAGGGTGGCCAGCATACTTACAGAATTGTTTAATTATTAAACACGATTTTAAATTAATCAGTAATGAATAAAAAAATAAAAGTATCTATTCGTGTTATACAAACTTTCAAATTATATATATTTCGTTCCTGCCGGAAACCGATTACCGCTTTCGAACTATATCCTTTAGTTAAAATATGTTTTTATAATAAGCAATTTCTCGTTTATTGTAAAAATATGATTAGAAAACATTTTTTTATAAAATGTAATATGAAAATATTACATTGGTATTTTATTTTATGAATATTTAGAATACATAATAATTGTGCTTCAATACTTAATCTGAGTGATATAAAAACTGTATGTATAATTTAGTTGGGATGTCTGATAAAAAACATTTCTATTTAAAAGTAAAATAACAAAATCTATGATTTGATTATTATATTATATGGTTTGTTGCTGATGATTGATGTTTCGAATTTTATAAATATGTTCATTTTAAATACTTACATTTATAACCTTTGTGCTTTTATTTATTTTATCAATATTGAGAATATATAATAATTGTGCTTAATCTGTGTGATATAACAAACCATATTTATAATTTAGTTAAGCTATTTAGTAAAAAAATAATTTCTATTGGCTTTAAAAGTAAAGTAAAAAATCTGTGATTTGATTATTATATTTTATGTAAATATTTATATTGGTTTGTTACTGATGATTAGTGTTTTGAATTTTATAAATATGTTGATTAAATACTTAAATTTTAACCTTTGTGTTTTTATGTCTTTTACAATTTTACTTTACTACACGACTGTACTTTACCGTTCCAAAAGAATTAGCCAAATAGTTAAGAGCTCCAATAGCTCCCAATGTGTCGTTAAGTACGTCTTTGAGGGTCCAATGGGCACCATGTTCTTGATAGGAGGTCGAACGGGCACTTTTTTGTAGGTAAGGTCCAATTAGGAGGGTCCAATGGGTACTAGACCGATTGAATGCTGTCTCGCATAATGTTAGATATCAGGCGGTTTACATATAATCGATTACCTATTTGAAATCTATTGTATTTACAAATTATTTATTTCGTAATCGTTTGAAAATCTTGTTGGAAAAAAATATTTTATAGTGATGAGGAATTTGTTACACATAGGTTACAAGTTTGACATTTTGATTTTACATTATTATAATCAACAATATTATTTATACAAATTGAAAGATTTTTTTAGTCGTTTTTAGTAATTAGTCAGATTGTAATTATATATTTTTATTTATCAATTTAATTTATTGATTAAAGTCCAAAAATAGAAATTTTATCATAATAATAAATTTGCAATTTTATCGATATTATTATTATACAGATTGTTTTTTTTATTGACATTTTTATTTTTAGTTATTGGTCACAGTTATTTTGATTTCTATCTATTTATATTTTTATAAAAGTGCAAAAGGAGACTGAAACGATTATATACAATCTTGGGCCCATATGTAAGAAGATGAAAATGGTGTAATTTAATAGCTTATATATTATCAATCTTTCACTAAAAATTCTGCGGCTTTTGTCAATCTGAGAACAGAGATATATGAGATTAAGTAAAAGTGAGGTTATGTTACAATCTTTAACCAACAGCTCATTCGTGAAGTGCACATAATGTGTTCTTTTGCACTAATAGTTATTATATTTACTAGAACATGTTTGAAAAATCATATGAATAAACGACAACAAGTTCAAGCGATAGGTAGGTAACAGGTAAGCAGATAGGGAAAAGATGTTTAAAATAAAAAAAATACGTGTGGCACTCGGCGACTGCCGCGGTAAAGCTATTGCATAACGTTATTTATCAATTTATGCAATTATAATTATTTATTTTATTTTATTTTATTTTATTTTATTTTATTTTATTTTATTTTATTTTATTTTATTTTATATTATTTTATTTTATTTTATTTTATTTTATTTTATTTTATTTTATTTTATTTTATTTTATTTTATTTTATTTTATTTTATTTTATTTTATTTTATTTTATTCATGCAGTTTTTTTTTCTTTAATATTAATAGATTTATTAGGCAAGCACAGCAAACAACAGCATTGTCCGGCGCCAAAAACTTCCACAGGCTCCACCATCTTTAGTCCACAAAATTTAATTATAATTATAAAGTCTAAATAAAAGGGAGACAAATAAAAATAAGAACAGGCGCTGGGGTCTAAAACAAATATATAAAAAAAATACGAGTGCGGGATTTGAACCGACGACGCGGTGATGCGTCGAACGATGGTCCCGTGGCAAAATTTTAACGCACTGCGCCGTTTCGATCGGTATTGGAAAGGCGAAAATTGTGTTCATATGCACTCTTGTCAGGTTATTTTCGTTACGGAATTTCTTAATTCGGTCGCCGCGCTCAAAGCCCGCGATAAAATCTATACAATAGCTTACAAATCATTTAATATAGTGCTTTATTCGTCTTCTATTATAATTAAAATGTCGTCTAGAAATTGTGCAAGTATGAAGTAGGTGATGGGTTCGCGATGCAAGACAGCCTAGTGGTCTTCTTTGCTCATCGACATGTGGGCTTTAAGCCAAGTCCCATCACGCTTGATAAACACAGTCACTACTGCTTACCTAAAAATGGAACATTTTTATTATCTTCACCTACATAAACAATACCTAATTAACTATTGGGTATTATAATATTGTTTGATAAAAAATAATTCTTTGCCATAACTTGTAAACAATCTCCATGGGCCTTCTAATTATATGTATTTTAAACCTGCCAGGATGATAGCTGGTTAGATGAGGTAATATTTACTTACAGACAGGTGCAAGCCATTGCCGAATCACGGACAGAATAGGCTAGTTGACCCTTTTTGGAAAAAGGTTTGAAATGGTTAATAAATGTTCTATTAGACAGAAAAAAAATGTATTGTATTTTTTTGAGACCTAGAAAGCTACAAATCTTTAATTTTAAAATAAGTTTTTCATGGACATACAAAAACGCTTTCGGCCACTTTAGTCTATCAAAAAAACATGATTTCTAATAAATACCACGAAAAATAAAGTAATTATCATTATTGTATTGTACGAGAATATAAAAAAACATCCTTGAAGACTCCAGGAAAGTTGTGGATTAAAGTGCCGAACTACGCAACTTTATTACACTTATTCATATTATGTTGTATCAGTTGTATGTTTATTACTACATTGGTGTCGATTCTGGCAGGATTCTCTAAACTTAAAACTAAATTTAACATCAGTCTGTCCTTTTCATTCTTTTAAGAGAATGACAAGGATACACATGTTGTCAAATTTAAGTTTAGCTTTAGAGAATCATGTCAGAATCGACACCATTGTAATACTAAATGCACTGTACTTACATAGATGCCTTGTCGTTTCTCTGAAACCGGGGTTTAGTGCAAAAAAATCACCAACCATGAACGCGTCAATTCTTGGTAGATTTGTGCTTTCTACTTTCACAAACCCGGGAACCATAATTAGTTTTGTCAAAAAAAAAAACAGTAAACGGAAACTTTACTAAAGTTAAAAGTGTTTTAAGATAAATTTAGTCAGACGAAAAAATCCACCCACAGTAACACGCAAATGACATTTAGTTGTTTACTACAAGAGACGTCACAATCATGGCGGATGTGGCGAACAGCGTTTTTAGTGTTTAAAAAAAATAGACTAAAAAATATTTTTTTAAATTAAATTTCTACAGCAATCTTCTGCTTTTATGAAGTGAAATGATATATTTTGGTTCCTTAGACCAAATACTTTAAGAAATAAATATTTATTTAATACAATTCGACATGAGTCAACTAGCCTATTGTTTCATCGTGTAAGGGTCGTGGCCCAGTGTACTGCTGTGACCAGTGGATATCACACAATTCACACAGCGATCCATAGTTTGAATAATATCCAATCCACAAGCTGGCGGTAAAATCCAAAATAACAATTCCAAGTCAAACGTGTGAGCGATCCTCGGTGTCCTTCGGTGGTGTAGGCAGGGTCAGAATCCGTAAAATACATAGCAGTGGTCGTAAAAATGACGAATAATCGGTAAAGCATTCAAAACGCATCGGAAAACACGAAACGAGTGAGCAAACTAGAACAGTCGGCAACTGTCTTGTCTAGTGTCAATGTCAGTCAGCTGTCATGCCAGTGACATATAAGAGAGATTAGAATCAATAATCATTAATATTGGTTTTTCAGTAAGTAATTGTTATTTGATTTATTAATATGACTGTAATTATATGCACTATATTGCATATAAGTATCTATATATTGCATTTAATTACTTTGAGTTAATTGTTTAGTGCAAAAGTTTTATTTTCGTAACTGTGTTATCGATTATTGAATCGATAATCTCACGAAAACTTTCTTTCTTATATTCCTCCGCTTCCAGATCGAGAATTAAAATGATTTTTGATATTTTTAGATAAAAAAATAGTTTAATAGGGTTAAATAATTTTTAATAGTTAAAATAGTCTTTAATAATTTTAGATATAAGGATCTTATATCTTAATTTAGTATACATAACGTTAATTACTGGTGTTAAAAACTTTGTGTGCTAAGTTTTTTTCCAAATCCGTTTATCCGTTTTTGACAGATTGGGTAACAAACATACAAACATAAAAAAAACATTTAAACTTCCACATTTACAACATTTGGAGGTAGCAGGATAAAGAGGCTTAATTGTTAACAAAGATTAAATTATCCTTTATTCATCAATTCCGTCATGCTTGTCATTCTTGCTGACAGTGTCAGTTTTCAATGATATTTATTGCCTGGTTTTGTGATATTTTTTCCTTGTTTTTTAATTATTATTTTAGTCATTGTGTTTTTTGTCCTACGGAATCATTTATGTAAAGGGATATAATGAAGGTAAGCCAGTAATAATATTGAGTCTAGAAATACTAATGATGAATGCTACATGAAATTGTCCTCTTGTTTTAATTAAGAGAATACTTTACGTTTGACTTTGAGGGGTGATAAATTTGCATATAAATCGAAGGAGGCCCACTGAATTACACGTATTTTCGGAGTTATTAGCGTATTTCCAAAAAAATCATGACGGCATCAGGGCATGTTTGAGGCATCAGGGGACTGCTTTAAAGTTGACAAAGGTACTTTTGTACTGAGAAAAAAAGTCTGTTTTCATTATTCAATAATCTTTATGGCATAACTTCGCACCAATAACCAACAAAGTTTCTTTAGAAAAACGGTAGCAACAGAACTTCCTTTAAACATTCATATTAAAAATTTATTTCATTTGAGATCTCCAATCAAATCCTAAGGATTTTTATTGATCATATGAGGCACATAATGAAATTGAACCCCAAAAACTTGAAAAAATGTTGCTCAATAATTACTTGAGTAAGCTTATAAAATATTCTCTTTCCTTCATTATCATCATCAGCTGTCACCTGGTGAAGGGTCTACGGACACTGGAAGCGCAGTGAGGTCGCCATTTAAGCATCTTCGGACCTCAACGTCCATCGATTCGCTAAAGTATGTTCTCCACCAATTCCCACTTCAGCCTGGCGATCTATTGAGCTTTGACGGTTGTTCTAGTTCTTCTACAGAGTTTCGGATTCCTAAATCGATCACGTTACTTCACGATTACAAGAAACACCGAGCATAGCTCTCTTCATCGTTCGCTGTGCGACTTTTTTGTGCTGAGCCTTCTTATGAGGTTCTTAGTCAACGACCACGTCGCGACTCCGTATATCATAACGGCTCAGATTAATATCACGGTCTGCCATTGTAACATGAATTCCGAGTGCTACTCGTTCCTACAATATAATCATATAATATTGGAGGGGACTTGTTTGGTGTTTCTCTTTCACGTTAATACAAATCAGGTATTTTACACCGTTCAGCTACTGGTACATCCAAACCATTTAGATTACATTGTTTTCCTGGACAAAGCTAGGCTTGAAGCTGGAGATATTTGAACTGGAACTAGAGTGGAGGGTCATAAAGGCGCAGCGGCGGCGTATTTTCTCGTACAGAATTAGTGACGCTTTTCAGTCTTAATGGTTTGGTTCGGTATACGGAACAATGTTCTCACTACTTCTTCAAGACAGCTCTTTACTCACGTGGTGTCATATTCATTACTAACTTCCGCAAATCTTTTTCTTTCTATTTTTGGTATTTCAAGTTCTCCTTTTCTCTCTTTTGAGGGTATTTTTTACATCTACCTAAGATGTCGTATCGTAGTTATCCCACTTCTCACTTTTTCTGTAGTAATTCCTCTAGGTACACCTTTTTCTTTAAGCCATATTTCATAATATCATGAAAAGCAATATCGTGTGTCTTCAATAATATAATGTCTTCAATAACATTACCCCGACTGCAACCAAAAAGTATGCTAAAATTCTGTCTCTTTCGTTAGCTATTTTGTTAATTTTCAAACGGCATTCGTGACTTTAAATTATTCAATTTTATTTGAAGCGTTTTTAGGTAATCAATGTATTTTCTAGTATTTCTCACGTTTTACGGGTAAAGCCGTTGATAAACACTACTATGTTTGTCTATATTTGAGATGGTCACACACATTAAGACTTTTCAAATGATCATCTTCGTATTGTAATAATTTGAAGCTCTTTATTTATTTGACATAAATGTTATTTTGCCATTGCTGCTATTAAAATATTAACAGTTAAGATTTTATGTTATTTGGGATCATTAAAGGATTCAAAGGATACCACTCACACATCTAAATCGGCTGAGGCGGTATTAAGTTATGGTGGAATAAAGAATTGTACACACATATGTACATGAATCCTGAAAAAAAATCACTGATTCCACACGAACGTAGTCGCGGGCAAAAGCTAGTATGTTTTTATTTACTTGTTTCTTGTGTAGGTAACTTATTTAACGTCGATATTATTGCTTGACTGTGGTTTTATTCAGTAGGCCACGACTGTCACTTATATAAAAAAAACATAAAATATTATATTTCCACTACCTACTACAAAGCAAGATTTTTAGGTATTTATCATTTTGTGTAATGGATTTAACGTATTAGCTTGACAATAATAATATTAACTAACAATATTTTTTTCCAAAAACTTCATATTGATAGATTTAAAACTGACTAGTTCTATAATAAACCGACCCGGACAGAACAGGACATTTTAATTATTTTCGTAGGTTTCTTGTCGGATCTCAATAATTTAATATTTTTTAAACCCACATCGAAAAATTTTATAACTCAATTAATTTTATCCATTATGTCGGTTTTTTAAAAATCAAACAAGTATCAAAATATTTTGTTACAGTTCCCGTAGTTTCTAAAAAACTATATCCACCATCCATAGTACAAACACAAAAATCAGTTATATAAAGCAGTGAAGTAATTATAAGTGATATGCCATCATAAATGGAAATAGTTTTTATTGAGTGAGCGATTTGAACTCCATGACAATTGTGAAGTTAGTAGCGAGCACAACTAAGCGCAGTTTTCAGTTCAGTGACATCTCGCAAGCACCTACATGAGCCTACATTGCGTTTTGCGCTGCAATTTTCACTAACTACACAGCCGCCATTAAGTTTGAATTTTACTAAATATAAAGATGTGCGTTTCCAGCCAGTCAAGCTTGTGCCCAAAATACGTGTGGGTTCCCGAGCCAATAGGTCACCGAAGAAAGACGCCTCCCCTGTGCTCACCACTCTCAGCTCACCAGGAATCCCTGAACACACTGCGCATTTGCCTCACAGTGTTGACTTTGGAAAATCGCCTAGAGACGGTCACTCCATATCGGAATCCCGACTAGTGAGTTGACTTTACAATGCACAAATTATCATCGTCAACTTACTGCATTTGCTTTAATAAATGGGACCATTAGACTGCGCATATAGGCTGTTACGTTTTCACGCCTAGATTACAGAAACCATTATATACATTTTTTGGTCAGAGAGATAAGCAATATTTTTTCTCGCAAAAATAATACTAGAAAAGGAGATGTAAGAGTCTCGGAAACCTATACAGACAAAATCGCAAGTGTCGTTCAGCGAATACATTCTTAACAAAGTAATGATTCTATTTTGGAATGTTTGTGGGAGACCAGAGTACCAGACAACAAATGGCTATTTTGGGATACCAGAACTAGTCTCTCTAAGTAATAATACTGTTTCTAAGAAATAAGTAGTATACGTACTTATAGCAGAAAATTTACATCGCTTAATTTTGTTTACAGGTTTTTCTTTGTTTACGGGGCTTATTATTACTTATGTAATGCAACACTACAGTTATAGTAAACTGTAGTGTTGCATTCTAAAATTGTCAGGTATTTCGTCTTTTGTGAATTTTGTAACCTACATCATCCTTGCAGCATATGAAGGAAAATGAAATCAAACACGAAAATTTGCGCATAGACAGAGCACTACAAACAGGGGGGGATAAGCTGGCTAAAAATATACCGACCACCATGCATCGGCAATCACCAAGCCCGCATAAGGAAGACGAAAGGAAGTGTTCAAGGGTCAACCATTATCCTAAAGAACTGGAACAGGTCAGTAGAAAACAGGAGAAGATAAAATGCTGCCGTGGTATACCCCCAAAGGTAATTAATGCCGTTATCAAATAATATATTCTTGCATTGAATAAAAGATTGATGCCTATGAGGTGTCCCTGCAAGGAGTTTAGTGCTAAGTTACACACTCGTCTTTAATATACTTATGACAAATCAAAGTGATCAGAGGTATAGCTTACCACAGCTTCTCATACAAGTTTCAATAATCAAACTCCATTAAGAAGTTAGGCCTACTAGAGCTTTGTTGCCGAGATATTTGTATAATTAAGACTATTGCTTTTTAAAATAACAACTATTGGCTATTTACACATATAATGACAAGTATTGCTAAGAAATGGAACCAGATTATCTTTGAGTTTTACTGGAGGTTGATATTAAAACTGGTCGTTGATATGTGACTTTCACTGTTTTAAATCGTATTTAAGCTTGAAAGTAAGCATGACATCTCTAAAAGAGGCGTACTATGAATTTGTGTCAAATTTAGCTTTCATGTCTTTTTCTTCCAAAGTTTGATAGAATCTTTGTTATTTTGCTTCTGAGCTATATTCTTGTAACCAAAGTTTTATTCGTTATGCACTCCAAACAACTAGCAACTTACGTCTTGCCAAATAATATATAAGATTGCAAATATATTTACAGCCTAGTACTAATTTAAAATATTTTCTTATTACAGAAAAGTCGCTCATGTAAGTTTATTCTAATTTATTAAAAAAAATATATATAATGTTAAGTATTTTAGTAAAATTTATATTCAAGCAGAATTTCGAATGCCGAATTAGAATTAATACAATGTGGCGTGTTAGTAGCCACACACAGGCGTGTTACTAATAATGCTGCAGCATTAGACATTATCTCCACGGATGAGTTGATGTTGATGTGAGGCTATTGGTCTCTGATATAAAAATAGTATTTATTGTAGGCCGCCTCTGCCTCCTGTAAATAAATAATTGATGTCCATTTTAAAGTTCCTTGTGCTTTACCATGCTTATGCTCGTCCGGTGTCATTTGCCGTATCCCCGCGTTAGTATCTCCCCTTGGAGATAAGCCAAGCCCAGCGAGACTAAGGCTACGATTCTCTCGTTTAGAGTGAACACAAGTGGAGATGGCGCTTTATAATGCACCGTAGCGCCTACATTATAGTAGAACAGCAGGCCTCTATTTCGACGAAAAACGAAATTACGATCGAAATTTCGCACGTTCCTTACTCTGTTTCTATTTCATTTCGAAAATTCGTTCGTCCGAAAATAGTCCGACATTTAAATTCTCTAAGCCTACTCTAATTCACTAATTAAGTTGAATTTGACAGATAGTTCGAAATTTTAACCTCAAATTGACGAAATGAAGTGTTACCTTTTCATTTTGGTTTTTAGGATTTTTGTTTAAATAAAACCTAAAATTACTACTAGAGTATTTTTAATTAAGGCTGCTTAGCGTGAGGAACATTTTTTTGTACGAAAAATTTACAAATAAATCTAATTTTTGTTTATTATTGTATTGCCAATACTTCAAACTGTTACACGATAAATTAAGGTTGACATACATTCGATTGCATCAACTCTACAAATTAGTCGGCTAACACTGTCAAAAGAGGTTGTTTTAATGTAATCAAAAATGTTGTCATAAAGTAATATGGTTTTGAAGTAAAAAATGTTATCTAAAAAGTGTAGACAAAAAGAACTCGCAAACATTCCATTCGTTCACGATATTTGTCTGTGATTCCGAACTTTATGTGCGTGTTCGAAGATGAAATAGAGTAGTCACTGGCGAAATTTCGTTTAAAATTCGTTCGCTGCCGAAATTTCGTTTCGGAGAAAGAGAGTAGAGCTCCAGAAGTCACAATTCCAACAAATTGCTTAGGGCGCTTTCAATTTATGCGTTTCTTGACGGCCTGCTGCGGTACCGAAGCGGTGCGTTTGTCGTACAGCGTACGGACGATTCTTTTTTTTCACACAAAACGCGCGGTGCGGCAACAGTCCTGTTGGTCCAGGCCGTCAAGAAACGCATAAATTGAAAGCGCCCTTACTCGCTAAATACCAAAGTGACACAGCGAGGTTGTGGGTTTCATTCACTTAGACGTATTATTGCACACACCCATCATATTATGTTCAGATGAAGTCGGGATCAGTAGATACAAAGTACTCCTGCATGCTTATCTTATTTTCACTTTTCTCTATTCTGTGGTTTCATTCAACATTCTATGCAAATTCTTTAAGTAAAGAATTTGTATATGCTTTAACATATGTTTGACATATGGTAACTAATGTTGGCGAACCAAATAAAAACAACAATACGCACAGACCCGCGGGGTAGGTTATGACTCATTCTCCCTATCACACGCCTCTCCATCCATTTATTCATTCATCGCCATGACATCAGGTGTCACGTGGGTTTCACAGAGCATTTTCTAATTTCTATAGCGAAATGCTTGCAACTATGAATGTATAAATTTCCAATGTGTAGAGTATACATCACTAAAGCCTAATTATTCTAAGGTTCTCCTTCGGGGTTCGATATGAATGATCCACTGTCGAAACAGATCCGAGAGATTCACAATGATACACGAAAGAGTGCTCGGATCATAAAGGATTCTAGAGCTAGATTACTTGAGATACAAAAGGTAATTTCAAAGAATATCATTCAACCGATATAACGAATGCGACCAATATAGTAATAGTACAATATAAATAATTTTTATTATAGTTTGTAGGTTTCCCCTTAGGAATTTGATCCTAAAAAATCTCGTTTAAGCATTCTAGATTTATTGTGACGCTTCTCTGTAAAGTTAAGTAATAGGTACATAATAGTATAATATGTATATCTTTTTTTAGCTTAATTATGTTTCCGAAAAGCAATGTTTATACGTTTAAATTTGTAATATGATACAATAATGCTTATTTTTAGAAAAGCACTTTGACGGAAGCTGATGTAAAAGAACTGGGCGAGCGAAACGAACTACTCCTCAGAGAGATGGATCGTTTTGATCGTATGACGAGAAACGTTCAAAAGCTGGTTGGGGTTGAGGTGGCGATCTTCAAAAAACCCAAACAGGATCAGACTCCTCCGGAGTATATACCGAGCTGTTACGGTAAGGAAAGTATTTATAAAATACTCGGTATCTGCTATCGACTGCAGATTCAACAGAGATCAACGTCTTAACGTGCTTTGCAAAGCTCGTAAGAACTCTAAATCAATAAATTTTGCTCACTATCACCAGCTGCGATAGTTGATTTACTTCCACGATTATGGTGCAGTGGCTAGCGCAGACCATAAGCGCTAGCCCCTGCACTATCAAGCTCCTTGAATAATGTTTTTTAATAAATAGGTACGAGTAATATCCTCCCCACCAGGTGGATTAAGTACCGGTGGAGTACAGACTCGAAGATTGCTTTGTACAGTAGTGTTATCTGCTACACCAGCCATTTTCTCCCTTGCCGGCTTGCATATTGCTTCTTCACGCCTCTTTAAAAGATCCTGGGTTGATTGGGGGGAAACTTGAACGGGCAAAGTATTCCACTTGTAGATAGTGCGACAAAGAAATGAGTCACCAAATTTATTTTTTCGCATTGGAATAGTGGCCATGGTAAGACGGTATTATTATTATTAGTAGGCCAGCGCACGTGGTCCCCTGAACGAAAGGGGAAGGTGGAATAACGAAGAATAAGTCTTCAGAATCAGAACACGCACAATAGTATAGACGATAAAACGCTCTTAAGGACGCCATATTTCGACTTCATTGAAGATCCGATGTGTTTTGTCACACCCTCATCGTCAATAATGTGGATCGCGCGGTTTGAATTCCAGCATTTATTTAAGTTATAAGAATGAACTATTATTTTCATTTCTGTGTCTGTCTATTACTTTTTCGTGTTAAATGTCAGTGAAGCCTTCGAACCTTGCTGGTCGTAGTGCTATTCCACAAACCGCAGACTTGTTTTTCTGGCAAACTATTTACTGCAGGGACGCAAAATTTAGGCTACACTCTTCTGTAAGGTAGATGTGTACTATTTCAAAGGGGCGCTATAATACCTCTTTGTTGTGCGATTTGTTTCAGACCCAGCACTATATCATGAGATGAAAATGAACCACCCTACCGTATTGCTGGCTGGAGGTAGACTGCCGGAGGCCCCCGGCGTGGTCGTCTGTGAGCCGCCGATGCGTAGTAAATCCGTACGTCCCCTACACTGTATCAAACGCTGATTACAAAATTCGAAATTATATGTAGAAAAAAAATGCAAAAATATAGGCTTCTAACAGAAATATTGTGTTTTCTTGAAGGAACTTGACCTCACAAGAAAGCTGAGCGAAAGCTACGATATGCAAGAGAAGTTGGTGGCAGATAATGCTGACTTAGAAGTCAAGAGGTCTGAATGCTTTAGATAAAATCAGTAGTTTCTTTCTTTTCCTCATCATCATCAGCTAATTAATTCGCGAAATAGCTTGTAATTGTTTTTTTATTCACATAACAAGCTGTTATTGAGTAAGTGGTTTGTTATTAAGGCAATAGGAGTGCGAAGCTTTCAAAAGCACAATACATAAATTGAAAATGAGTAAAGGTGCGATGAATTCACATCACAAGTTGGACGAGGTGCGTTAGTTTAGCGGCCGGAGAAGACCCCATAGACCTCTCTCTATGATTGCATTGTTAACTTAATTTTGGTATTAAGTTGTTGCATTAATTTATAGAAACATGAGAACCCGATATTGACATTGCAATTGCATAATGTCTGGGCTACGTTAATAAACAGTTCGAAAGTAACACAACATTTTATCCTGTTGGCATACTTGTGCAAGTTTACAACTAGCTAGCTGTCATGGGAAATCGTAAAATGCACTGGAATTATAAAATTGAAATAATTATCTAAGAAAGGAGAAAAAGGGAAATAGATCATAAAACTTAGATACCTTATTTTTGGGTGCCATTCTTATGCTGATGAGGCTACTCATGAGAGCTTGCTGCACTGCATTATTGTATAGTTCTAACCCTCCCCTGTTCCGAGAAACAAATGAAACTTGGAAGTGTTATCATACTGACAACCAGGTATTTATTGTTTTATAAATTTTACTTTTTTAAAGCGCCGCCAGGTTAATTGCATTGTAGCATCTTCATTTCGTATTCCCCCAATAATAAAGTGACTAGACACATATGTTACCAGCAATCACTATAGTCCGGCATTCTAAACAATACCTAGATAATGATTAGAACGCTTAAAACGTCAAGGCAATGTATGAAATATTATTAATTTTATACTTTGCCTAGATATTATAAATGCCAAATGCACAGTCGGCAGTCTGTGTAAAAGAAGATAGCGAGTAGACTTTTCCTTGTTTTATTTTTCTATTATCTATTCGCCGGCCGCTGCCGTGGCACGCTCGCGTTGCTCGCTCGGCTCGCACCGTGAAGTTTTGTTCATAACACTAACTTGATCTAACCCACTGTGAGTTGGTCAAACGTTTATTGGTCTGTAGTTCAATCGGTGAGAATTCTAAAATCCGCCCGTCATTGAATATACAACTGGGTAGGTTTGATAAGCCAAATCTGATTATTTTACACTTATGCGGTGGGCTAGTAGGTACACTGTGCAATCATTAAAAATGTGTACATTACCTAGGCAAAGTATTAAATGGAAAATATCATTTATAATATTTCATACATTGCCTAGGCGCCCCAGTCATTCTTTACATTGCCTAGGTATTGTATAGGATACCTAAATTAGGTATTAGACACATTGCCGGTGACATTTATATATCACTAGCTAACCCGGTGAACTTTGTACCGCTTACAATAATTTGGAGGGAATGAAAGCTATCCGTTGGATAGGAAACCAGCTTTTTATTATAGTAAGCAATTGGTTGGAGAAATGTTCTATGTATAGATTGATTATTCAGCAAAATTTTTCTTTTATACTAACTTTGTCCTGACAATAATGAACACTACAAAAAAAACAAATTTGATGCAGTCGTTCGGAAATGACATACTTTTTGACGATTCATTTTTATATATATAGATTTGGGAGTCTTATCAAACTAGGTTTAGTGTCGTGGGCTCTAGACTAAAAGATCCTACATATCAACAATCTGCGGCGTATTGAATTTTATTTTTTGTTATATCCTCATTGCTATAATAATTGACATTGACATTAAGTTTTTTCATAATTGGAATAATTTATCATTACGTCTAAAATATGTGTCACGCCGCACTCTAGGTGCGAGAAATCCAGCAAAAAATAGTAAAATAAAATATGAGCTTGTAAAAGCAACAAAACACAGAACAATGGATAAATTAAGGTTGGTGAAATTAAACTTTTGGTTTCAGATATATTTTGTATAAGGAGTTGATGACAAAGGATCAAAATTTGGAAACTTGTCGTGCTCAGATCAAAAGCTTGCAAGGAGAACTGAAATTGATGCACAATGAAAATATACTGCTCAACGAAAAGCTGAATAAAAATAATCCTGAGGTAGTATGCTGAACTAGTAGGTCATGACTTAACAGGCAATGATATGAAAACTGAAGCTTTGAATGCTTAACCGGACCTGTAGTGAAATCTTTGCAACGTACAGGGGACGTTCAAAAAGTATTACCGTTTGTGCAGAGTTTGTAACTTGTTGCTATTGTAATTATTTAACATCTAAAAACTAGTACCAAATATGTCTCTGGAGTAATTTAAATACACAACTGTATATATTTTTCTTGCTCCTCAAAGCGTAAGGATGGCTTATGCGTTTTATTTTCTTTCTTCTAAGCTTTCTTTATTCCTACATTTGGTAAGATAAACTTAACATCTACTAACATATCTTTTTTTTTTTAATAGAATACCATGGTAATCTTTCAGGGCGATGCTGCTGCGATGAATCAAGATCCAACATTTCAAAACGAAACGGAAATCTGTGATAAGGTTAGGATTTTTTTATATAAAACTAGCGCCATAGTCTTAGTTCGTCATTATCCGCATCATCGTCAGAAAAAGCGCGTACACCTTCCTTAAAGGCCGGCGTCGCATTTGGGATACTCCTGGTGTTGTAGATGTCTATGGGCGACGGTGATCACTTAACATGAGGTGGGCCGTCTGCTCGTATGCCCCCTATATTAAAAAAAGCCTATAATGTCCTCAATGCTGGTGTACTGTCTTCACTCTTTTCTCTGAGATAAGAGAGAATGGGCTATAGTCCACAACGCGGACCTAGTACTAATTGGTGACTTCTAACAACAGATTAGACATGGCTGTTTTGAAAACCGCTTTAAGATTTATTTTAATTTCATTTATATAGTACCTAAGTAAGATTAATATCAACATCTGTATCTGCAACTTCTGCTGCGGCGGATGCTACATATTATTAATCCATTGAGTGGATTAGATATGTATATATATTCTATTTATTTTGAAGCATGTTACAATAAATAAATAATAAAAAAAGATATCGATATTGATTGTGTAGTTTAGATCCCGGTAGGAGAACTTCTTACAATGTATTGACCACTTTATAACAGAAGTTAGCGTGTTTCTGCGATCGTGGAAGTTAAGCAACTTTCGAATGGCCGGTCATAGAATAGATGGCCAAACATAAATTTACAGATGCAGTTAGGTCTAACGGCATAACGTGCCTTTCGAAGCACGAAGGAGCTCGAGATTACAAGTTTTTGGTCCACATCCCTAGCCTAGCCTTCCCATCCCGCAGATCACCTACACCAAAACATGACCAACGACGTGGGCCCAGTGCGGATTGGTGGGTGCTAACGAATGCAGAAGCAGCTGGAATCAACGGCTTAACGTGCCTTCCGAAGCACGGAGGAGCTCAAGATAATAAGTTTTAGTTCACCCATCCAGTAACCGGCCATTTAGAAAGTTGCTTAACTTTTTTCTTTGTTTTATCTAGTTAATATATATTTATAATCTAGTTAATTAATATTGTGAAAACGGTTACGGAGAAACTTTTAAGCGATATATGTTATCTGACTGAAAGCGGTTTTCAGTTTCGTTTTGATATATCTGTCTCATGTCTACAACAGATATAGCCAGGATCAACGATTTAGTGCTTTTCGAAGCACGGAGGAGCTCGAAATAGTACATTTTTGGTCACTCACCTTTTGAGCGGACATCTTTCGCTCATTGCGAATTATTAATTTTCGCGTTATTGCGTTAAACTTCTAAAATCATAGGCTGAACGAGTTGGCCATTACACCTAAAGGCTTAATTTATTTTTTCACGTTTTCATACACATTCATTTTACATACCTGAAGAGAAAGATATTTTTTTGTATAATTGCTTTCATATATAACTAAAAGAAGAAATCCGCCAAATCTTAAGTGATATTTCCATAAATCTGTTATAGATAGGTTATAATTGCCTATGGAAGATTCGAAAATATAGTTGCGTTAACTTAAAACTTATTTCAGCTGGAGAAAACCTACGAAGTTCAGAAACTAGTTGCTAAACTCGAGGACTACAAAAGTTCCACTATCGAACTCGTAAGTGTCAAAGTTTAAAATATTTTATTATAAGTAAATCCAGAAGCAACTGTGACTGCAACCCTTTCACAACTACGCTGGATGGATGGATTTATAACACGCAGATGTCTAACTATTAATCCTTATTATAGCACTGCGAGAAGTGATCATTTGTGAAAAGAGTATGTGTTCATTTTATACCATTGATGAGTAGAGTAGTCATTTTGAATCCTTGTTGATTGTGCACTTACTTAAAGTTCGGATTTTTAACTGCTCTTTTATATGCCCAAGAGTTATTACATATTTACACACAAAGGTGCGCTATGGTGTTGTCTCACAAATAAATAACTAATGATATCTTCGCAGCCACTTCTACAAATGAATGTGATTTCGGTCGGACGTACATGTTAGTCACTGAACCATTCAGCACATTGAACTTCATTGATTTATAATTAATTAGTTTTATATGAACATATTTGCAATCAAACCAGCGTCCTTAGCCACCAAGGCGATTGCACTGATCATTATGTTATCGAGACCTTTACGGACTTGTCGAATTACTTCCAGCATAGCAAACCTTAGGCTCGGGACACACAGAAAAGCAATGTAAAAAACAACAGAAGAGTCCGCGCCCTGTCTTTTTCTATGTGCGACTATATGTTTTGCGACGCGACGCTCCTATACGTTATGTATGAAATGGACGCGGAAGAGACAATATCCGCGCCCGGTCTGCGTCTTACGTCTTTTACGGTGTCCCGTGCCTTAGATGACGTGATAGCGTCATAACAAGCGGCAGGATGTAAAACCACTACCAGTATAATGCATGCAAACGTATTTTTCAGTTTAGTTATTTTTATGCCAGGAAAAGCAATTGGGTGATTTGGAGTCTGAAGTCCGTCACATTCGAGTCGAGATGAATACTGTGAACGAGGCTGCCGGCAGCGCCTGCCGTGGCGGTGGCGCGCCTAACACATGTTTCCAACAACCAGTAAGAGCTGTCTAATATAACATTTTTTAATCTTTTTCTTCTTTATCCCAGAAACTTATTCATATAACTTTCAACAATCGAGTAATCAGTGTTTTTGTATTCAAATAACGTTCCATTGTACATTATAGAGGCTTCAAATGAAGCTGTCTTTTTGAAGTGAAAACTTCTTTAGTAGCGTTGTGTTTTGAAATTCGATGAAACAGAAGTTGAGTATTTGACACAAGATAGGTGTCCGTAATTTTATCAGTTACTGTAATAGGCAGATGGCCGAACGCAATTGATCTCTTGAGGTCGAGGCAAGTGGTCGGTGGTTAGAAACCTGAGTTCGGATATTATGTGATGTGATGAGTACGTGGCCTAGTGCCCACCGTACCGCCCCCCATCTGCTGCGAAGGGCTACTTGGGCGTGCCCGTGTTGCTCCCTCTGCCGCCACCCTCTTTGCAGGACAGAACTACAACAAGGAGGTTTCGTCACGGGATCCCTTGGTGGCCGGCACAATGCGCCGTACCAGCCAGCCAGGGATCCCCGCGGGCAGGTTCATGGGATGGGCGCAGCCAGGGCGTGCACTCGTCCTCTCCTACCCGCTCTTCTTCGGCGGTAGGGAGCGGCCAGAGGATCATCCTCCCGCTCCCTCTCGGCTGCCTCCTTCTGCGAGATGACGTTCTCGCAGAAGAGGCAGCCATCTCGCTACGGAGCATGGCCTCTACCATGCTTCGCAGCGAGAGGGTTCCGCCTCCTAGCGCCGCGATCAGGTCACGACGCTGCTGTCGCCAGGCTGAGCACTCCAACGAGGTGTGCTCGGCCGTATCGTCCGGGGCGCCGCAGTGGTGGCACTGTAGCGTTTCCTCCCGACGGGCGACACGGTACAGGTAGTGACCGAAGCACCCGTGTCCGGTCAGTATCTGCGCCAAGTATTTTACAATACCTGAATAGTTATGTATTAAAAGTTTGTAGGTGCCTCATTGGTGCTTAACCCATTTATTAATAGGCTACGACTCTGGTTTTTATCAACAATCGTTACCATTCCAATGTTTGCAATTTATTTACAGTATTTTTTTATAAATAAAATTCGCTAAAAACCTAAGATAAAAAAGATAAAAAATAAAAAATAGCAGGTTACAAATAAAGCCGCGCGTGGCGTGGCAATCGAATCTTCATCCCGATAGAAAACTGCTGTGCGTCTTTTATAAATCAATAAAGAAAACAAATTTAATTATGGCTTGATTTTTAACAGTACCTATTAGGTTTTATCCTAAAATGCGCTGTCTAGTTACAGTTGGCATTATTATCTGCCAAAATGGTTTACGTTTATATGAATTCTCGATGGAAAACAGGGGTGTATCTTTTATAAACCAATAAAGAAAAACCAACTTCTTACGACGCCATTGTTCTACAGTATTATTTGTTATTAAAATAGGTTTGCAACTAAAATAAATCTAATTAAAAAAAATACTGTGCATGTTAGCGCCATCTATTATTGGTTAGCACTAAATTTACTGTGTTTATTTCTACTAGATAGAGTCCGACTCGCACTTCAGACTATCGCATCGTCGAAAGTTTCTATGAAATCTAAGCAGCACCCCTACCGGATGTAAGAACTGGCTCCTACCGTACAAAATTTGACGATGATGATACGATTACGGATCTGTCAAAGTTCGTGATCGGGACTCCAGACGGATAGGAGCCTCCCCCTGGATGCCATCCGCCTGGAATTCCTCTAGTGGCACTGGCCAATTCTCGGCTTGAGGTGACGCTGTAAATGTCATTTGTGATCAACAGCATACACACTCAAAAAGAAAATAGTGATTGGGACTCTGATTGACTGACTTATCAACGCCCAGCCTAGGCCATTGGATGTAGAGAGTTGAATTTTAACTCAGGTGTTGTCGTTAAGACGTACCTATAAGGCGATTCTGTAAAATTAAATCTCACTTCCGATTTCGATAGCTGCGATTTTAGACATTAGTTTGATATGCATTACGCCATTGCACGGCAAAATGTCGCTATATCTGTAGAAGCAGCCGGTATTAGATATTTGACATTTGTTAGAGATCCGCATAAATGAGATCGTAAGTGAGATTGCATCTAACAGAATACCTATGTTGGACATGAAGGACTTACGTGTTCACATTTATGCAGGTTTCTATCGCATGTGAACAGCACATGTTCGTTTTTTTTTAGTCCGTTATTCGATTAAAAATATTATACCTACATATTTTCTTACACGATGCTTTTTTTTCAGGCTGGAGGGCCTCCGGTACCGCCAATGTCTCGAGCTGTAAGTTATAATTGTAATTTTTGCTTCCTATTATTTGGAGGCAGCCAGCATTATACATATTTTAGCAAGTTTTGCGGGTTTTTCGTGAGTTTCAGTTCGAATTTTTTTACCCCATTGTATAGATGGGCAATGTATCCACCTGGGTTTAAACCCAGATGGGTGAAGCCGGGTCTTTTGGGTTTAAACCCGTAAATACCCATAAACACATTTTTTTGGGTTTTTATTATTTTTAACTTAAACTTGTAATATTATCTACTGACCTGATTAAATGCAAGCTGGTACAGTAAGCCACAGTTCTACCTACCACCCATTTCCGGTTTTGCCTTTCATTCTCATCAAATATCATTCTTTGTAATAACAATAGAATTGTTGTTGTCAATATTATCGTACAATATGTTTTTTTCTATGAAAAGTTTCGACAAATGACACCACCCCACTTGATGTTCAGTGAGGGTAACGTCCAGACATGAGGACTTCTGAAGGAAAAGTGCAGGTGGGATAATGGAGATTAACTCTCCAGAACTCTCGCCGTGGTTAGAAGATAGGATTCTATATAATGCCACATCACGGCGTAATTAAAAATTCAAAAATCTATATCATTTATGCAGTCTAGGCTGTTTGTTACAAACAATTTGGAATGTCGAACTGTACTGAGAAGAACCGACAAGAAACTCGGCAAGGGCTGTTTTTATCTCCCTGTATTATATACAGTGTCATCAAATATAAAAATGACTTCAACATGAGCACTTATGAAGTCACAATTACAACACAGTACACACAGTCACAATTACTCACACAGTAATGGGAGAGAGGCTGGAGGTGTTTAATCCCCTCCTCATCGCCAATGATGCGTATCGTGCGCCGCTGTAACCTATACAAAGCATCCAGTAAGAACTTGGCTGAATTATTCCAGAGGAGTAAGCAATATTCTACGCAGTAACTCACTTGCGTCTTCTATAACAAGCACGCTTGATCGGAAATGGAATAACGCCGTTCATGTTAGACCTCCGAGTTTGTGTGAGGCTGGTTTAATCACGCTTTTGATGTAGATTTTTGTAAAGTCACAGCGAACTTCCATACCGAGCATGGTCGTGATATTTCTATAAGGCTCCAGTATTATGCTCTGAAGAGAATGAACGGGGAGGCAAGTCTTTCCGTCAATGCGCTGACCTGAGTTTTCATAAGATTGAAATCAACCAGTTCTTGGAATCTTATTCGGAAATGTGATCTGAAACCCGAGTGGGCTCTATGATAAGATACTTTCTTTTACTCCTTGGTATCTACCCGTCTAACCGTTGCGTTTCGTCTAGCACTTAAGCACGCCAGTATATACTGACATGAACCGTGAACCTTTTCTATCCGTAAGGATACTAGTTTTACGTTTTTGCAGGAAATCAGACACATACAGAACCGAGAAAGCAGATCATATGCCTGATGCTTGGAGAGAAGGGCCAGGCTCTGTCGAAAGCCTTGGCAATGTAAAGGTTGATGGCCAACAACTCGCCTTGTTGATACCATCCCCACCCCAGGTGTGAGTAATGTAAACCAAAAGATCACCCGTCGATCGTTTGGGTCAAAACGATCGACGGGATATTGAAAATCAATCAGAGTGAATCTCTAAGTAGCAGCAGATGGTTATTAAGGACCTTTTCTAGGTGTTTATACAATATAAAGGGGACTGCTATTGGTCAGTAGTTGGCTGGGTCTGAGCGAACCCCCTTTTCTGAAATCTTTTGCTCATTTAAAAGAACAAGAGTTGGTACATACGCGTGAGCACGGGAGACAACTCCGTTGCACATTTTTTGAGCAAAACTGCTGGTTTGGCGCTGGTTTGGCGCTGGTTTCAACAGCTTTCCGGACACCCGAGTTATTACAATTGCGTGAGTTATTCACGCTCCCACAATGAGGTAGTGACGGTTGCAGTTGCTGTGTATTTCAATCATCGATTCGGGACTAAGCCGCATATAATTTGCCAGTAAATAGCTACCTTCTGCGGCTTCATGAGCTAGTGAGATGATCAGACTCTGCACTGTCGCGCGAGCTCTCAGAAGTTGTTCTGCATGACGTTGGCCAAATTCCCATAACTAAGGGGAGCAACGGCCTCTGGTGGAAGCGTTATCAGTTCATGGCCAATTCGTGCAACACGCTGGGCATCCGCTCTGATGTAAGCTTCTCCTTGATGTAAATGTCCAAATTTGCCGACCTTTAGTGCCAGATCCGGCGTTTGACCACCGTTTAGTTTAGTAAAACAAAAGCATGTACTGCCTATACGTAGACTAAAGTTAAGCCCGGTCCATTTGTTAAAAAGAAGACATACAGTTTTAGGATTAAAACGAGTCTCTATTTTAGACCACGTTTTGGAATAAAGCGGATAAAGTTTATTCTCAGAATTTAATGTTCATTCCAAACATGGCATTTATTACATTTATTTGTAACACGCAGCTCTGTAGTTTCGGGCCTTACTATGTGACTCAAATATTATGCGGTTTGCAGAGTAGAAAGCATTGAGTTTGAGTTTAAGTTTATTAAAAAACAGATATAACAAAATTAAAATGCAGTTCAAACACTACCGGTTTCAACATTAGAACGTTGAAGACAAACAGACGAAGAATTGGATAGGTTCCATCTCGTTCGTACTATAATGGTCATTTCAGTTTCAGTCACTTAATCTTTCTTAATGGTCAATGACATTTACTTCTTCATTTTCTTCAAAAGAGAAAAGAAACCTTACTAAATAAAAAAGAAACAAACTGTGATGAATGTGCAACTATATAAAAATAACTGTCAAGATATGTACTACTTGATAATCTGTTGAGGCTTATTTTCTTCTGAATATTCCAAAACATTAGTTTCGCATTATATTCATAAAAACAATCTTGTTATTTTCAGAAAAAAATAAATTCATAATTTGAAGAAATTAAAAAGTTTATTTATTTTACTTTGACGTAGTTTATTTATTTTATTTATTTGTGAGTCTGTGGTAAAGAAAATAGCTTAAAATTTCGAATTCAATATATATTCGTGACTATGAATTACATTTCAGTGCGGTGTTTGCCCTCCTTGCCCGGCAACATGCAATCCCAATGCTCCACCGGTAAGGTCAAGTTGATATTACTGTTTGATTACTTCCAATGTTTGAGGAATATTATATTATTAATAACAATGTGGCCTAATTTTTAGACGCCAGCTGAGAGGGAAGTGGCTAAATTGACAATTCAGTTGCGGCAAACTGAGGAGAATTTCAAAACCAAAGTCGCTGAGGTTAGCCAGATTTATTTAACGCTTTCTTTTAACATGAAGACGATATAAAAGTAGGTAAGAGATTTGTCTTTAATTTCTGTTTAGTGTGCTATGCTTCGTACTGAATTATTAAAGAAGAAGGAAGAGTTAGAGAAAGAAAAATGTCAGCACAGAGAGGTACAGAACAAACTACGCGAGTTGGAAATGAAATTTGAAGGGTTGGCAACACATACCAATATGTTGCTTGGTACAAAAGAACAGGCTTTTGAGCAGGAGATAAACGTGAGGGCACTTAAGCAATGCTACAGGGAAGCCAGGGAAGAGATTGATGAATTAAGGCTTTTGATGAAAGAACAGAATGAACAGCTTCAAGACTATAGGGTTAAGGTACGAAGGTTAAATCATTTTCAGTAGATGGATGTTATGTTGCCTTACAGTATTACATTAATACTTTATTTCTAGTACTTACAAGCACAACAAATGGTAGAAGAGCAGCGTCGACAAATGGACATGATGGATATGGACAATACTAGAATAAGCGAACAGATAAACTTAGAAATCCAAAAAGTCAAGGTGAATACTAAAATGATAGTTACATTATTTTTCTTTTACTTGGACTACTGTTTTGTGTAACCCGTTTAAATTCGCCAGATAAAATTCCAAGAGAAGTTACAAGAATTGGCTCCCATACCAGATTTGCTAAAGGCCACTCAGATGCGATTGAAAGATGCTCAGCAGGCTCAAGCTATTGCTGAACACAACGCAGAGCAACTAGCAAGAGAACTGAACTGTGCCAGAGAGAAGGTTTAATTACTAATGTTTCAGAAACTGCTGCCTGATAATATTTCGAGTGGTTATAATTTTAATCAACTTTTATATGTATTATTTCTCAGGTGCATGCATTATTACACAATAGTTTAAAAGCTCCAGAGAAACCGCCTGAGCGAGGGAATGATGAAAAGCAACTGGCAATGGCTCAACAGAGAATCACTCAGCTTACGGAAAATAATATGGCTCTTAAGAATGAGGTTGAAAGATTGAAGTAAGTGTACATCAATCATACTTAGACGTTCAAACATAATCTCTTCATATAAAACTAAAAATATATTTTCAGCCTACGCCTTGATTGATTGGGTACAAAGATCAAAATCAAATTCAGAATCTAGACATTTTGAGGAATTGTTATGTAATACTTCTTTTTTCAGAGCAAACGTCATAAGGATGGAAGAATCGGTGTTGGCCAATGAGAAACGCTTGCAGGAGAAAATGCACGAATGCGCTCAGCTCGGTGGAGAGCTGGACCGAGTGAGGGATGAGGCGGCCAGAGCATTGCAAAGAGCCAATGAGCGCACGGAGACAATACGCAAGTGAGTTTTTATGATGAAATTGAAATTCGCTAATATTTATAGATAAAGTTTTAATAAATGCCTCCGATAGTAAATACCGTTTCACGTTACCGTACAAATGCACGAAAAGGAACTAAAGAAAAACATACAATTTGCCTTTATTAAATATATATCGAAGCTTTGTAAGAGTTTTGCCATTCATGTTATTTTAAGCATCGATTGCTTTGGGTAATAAATTTTATCCCATCGATAAGTTATATTAAAGAATTTAATATTTCACATCAGATATTAATGTTTTGAAAATACTGGTATGTGTAATAAAATAATTTCTAAATTCCGGTTTTCTTTTTGCAGGTGTATGCAAACATCTATAGCAGAGCTTGAGAGACAGCTCGCAGCGTGTAGGGCTCAAGTGAAGACAGCTGAAAAAGATCGCGAGGAAGTAAGTTTTCAAAAAGTGACAATCTTTCCGTTTCTCAGAACACTAAGTTTTTCAAGTTTAGTTTAATGAGTAAAAAGAAACTGCAACACTCGAGACTTACCTATTGTTTTATAGTAAGCAAAAATGTTTACTTCAAAACTCTATTCCCATAGTTTTCAGCTTCCTTTAAACTATCAAAACTTCAGCTATTTGTATAGAACACCAATTTTTCGTTACTAATCCGGATCTAATCTGTTAACTATTAAACTTATTATTGGCCGTAAAAACTTGTTTTAAATTGGAATTTATCTGATTGTCGACTTCTTTGGTTCAGCGACTTACAGTTACTATAGCCATCTATTTATCTCTGTATCTATCTCTAAGTTAGCTTTGAAAATAACTGAATATTTTGAAGGTATTTCTTTATGACACATGTCTTGTTGTGTACACAACACGAGGTACTTTAGGAATTTAGCTTGAATGAGTCTAGAGCAATGTATGTTGTTCAATACTAATTCATCTATGTATAAGAATTATACTAGATTTGATATTAAAATTCGTTACAGCTTCAATGCCGTATGCAATGCCAGATACGGCGTTTGAACGATAACTTCGAACAAGCTCAGCTGCGTATACTCGGCTTGCAGACGCAGGTTCAAACTCTTAGGAGGACTGCTTCTAGTTCTGGCGACGGCGAAGGTGACATGGAAGCACAAGAATGCGCCTGCAAAACCTTCTTTGAAAACCCATAGATGTGCATTTTCTGAGCTTTGGGTACTAGACGTGGTTCTTTAGTTGTTCATTACGACCACACTTAGAGATGTCAAATATTTTTTTAGTTTGATTAAAGTAGTCGATGCTTTAAATTTCTTTGCGATAGGTTTTGACTATGACACACATCACTTTATCAATCATTAAATTAAGTTGATTTGTCTGAGTGCGGCCGTTGAATGAAGAATCTACTTTGTTCCAAAGTAGGTAAATGTTTATTGAAATGTCATCTACACTGCTCAATATAAATAAAAAGCAGCATCGTTATTTTGATATAAATGTAATAATTAAAGGCACTTATTAAATGATTAAAAAAAATTTTTTTGATCATCGAAAATATATAAGAACAATTAATTGTATTTTAGGTGATCTTTTACTATTTACCGGTGAGATGTTTGTTTTTGTTTCCGATTCTTAGAATTAGTACGGGTTTTATGGGGGCACTGTACGCTCTTACTTTTTTCATTGTTTACAAAAACTGCAACACTTATGAATGCTACAATTATATTTATAGGCAAGTTCTTTTGTCACCATAGACGTTTCATATGCACCTTCTTTAAAATTATAGTATTTGGTAAATAAAAATTGTTTTAAGACTCGATTTCAAAAAACGATTTTAATCCCTTTTTGCAAAAATCAAGATCTATTTGAAGTTCTGACTGACCTGTTGTAGACAAGTTCATTATACTCTTTTTAAAGCTAACTTAAAAGTTTAGAAGTACGCTATAAAAACCTGCTCCTTTAATATTCCATTCTGCAAAAAATGACTTTTTTTGCACATTTAATTCGTAATATTGCAGTTTTATTTAAACTTTTTAGTTAGTAATAGGTTTCTAGAGAAATGAAATATTTTAAGACAGACGTCTTATCTTCTTTATTTGACCCCTAATCTTTTTATCTAATAATATTCGATAAAAATATAAGCTATAGCTGCTTTTTATTCTGAAACGTAATTAAATCATAGCATATTTGAGGTAATGATCCTTTATGACAATCTTGTTTTGAGCTTTTTCTAATCACTTGTTAAGATTCCTTGTATTTTTCTATTCAAATTTGAAATACTTATCACATAATACCTTTAACAAGATAGATCATTTTAAAGCAACGTGTTTTTTATTTCTTCAATCGAAGAGTCGAAGGAACCCTTGTCATCACCTCACACACACCGCAGAACGTTGAACTAACTCGTGATATAACATGAAATGACGTCACACTTTTCTGTGCGTGCAGTCGGTGTTCATCGATTTTTAAGACGTTGCCACGTCAAAAACATAATTTTTACAATCAGTTATAATAAGCAATAAAAAAGGAAATATTTCGTTTTAAACTTCATTTATATTTATTAAATCGTTTCAATATAAAACTCTTTAGATGAATAACTGCGAGAATGAGAGAGAGAGATAGAAAGCAACCACGTACTTCTCGCAATCAAGCTTAAGTTTCATAAGAACACAACAGTTATAGTTCGATGTCGAATCAATAACTCCCAATTATTACATTGTAATACATACCTATACTAATGATAGCTCAATGATTGCTATGTTTGATATACTTCCGTTGCAATCCAAAATGCGAAGTGAAACCCTTTAAAGCTACACCTGTTTGGATGTCTTTTCCGTTTCCTCGTTGCTAGTTCCACCCCGTACCATGTGAACATTTCCTGATGATGCGAAACACGATCTTAGTGCTTCTTGAGCGAGGTGTGTGTCACGATGAGGGGCATGTGCGACCTCGTGGTACAAGTCGATAGCGTCGCTCATGGTGTGGATTGCTTCTTCCGTGCGCTCTGCTTCCATAAACTTCGCTCCTTCCTGAGAAGTATTAAAAAACAGATGTAACAACCCTAGGTCATCCCCATATAGGCTCGTCAACCCTACGAATTGCACGCTTGCGCGGTAGAGTCGAGCTGTGAGTATCTTAGCAACGCGCTCGAGTGATATAGAGAAAATATTATGATTATATGTGATTTCTGATGTGCGTGTGGACTGAGTGATCTTTTAAAAAAACTCATCCAATCATAACCAAATTATAAGAGGATTTAGGAAATAATTGTGAAAACTTAATGGTAAGGTATAAAATTTGAAAAACCTAAACAAAGAAAGTTAGAACTAATTAACTGGATCACTCAATCTGGACACCTGAAGAATAAGCCATAATGCGTATCCAAGAATATACTACCTATGTGTTTATAATTTGTATTTGAAATAATTGTGAAGAATTTGTGAAAGCTGCTAAACAAATTTTCGATTCATTTCAAAGCCACGTTTAAGATTTAGAACGGTTTATATGGATCACTCAGAATGCACTATGTTCATTTGAGTGATCTTTTAAAACACTACCTTATACTGAAAAAGTATGAAACATTATCATGTTTATTATAAATTATGCTTCTGGGAAAATTTGTGAAACGGGATTGAAATCATACTGGTTTAAGAGAAAATGAAAATCTTGTTTTTTCTCGATCGTCCCAACTGAGTGATCCTTATCTTGAACTATATATAATAAACCCAAATTTATAGGTAGAAGGTAGTTACATCAGAAATTGTGAAAAATGTTGTACTAAATTTTGACGAACCAATCGTCCCAGTAAGTGTTATATTTTAAAAGATAACTCATTTTTTACTATCCTTAAGGAAAACGTTGAGTAGGGTACTTGAACTTTTTTATTTTGTCGGATTTTTTTTCGACTATCCTAGTCAATGCTAACATTGTGTATATTCATTGCAATTTGCGAAGCTGGCGGCGTTGTGCAGTGCATTTAATGCAAGTTTGTTTATAGTTTTTTTTTATATAGATAGGTCCGACAAATGACTCCACCCCACCTGATGTTAAGTGAAGGTAAAGTCCAGACGCAAAGATAGCAGATACGGCAGTTCTACCTGCCACACCAGCCATCTTCACCCTGCCGGCCTGCAAGTTGCTTCTTCACGCCTCTTTTAAAGGATTCCAGGTTGTAAGAGGGAGGGAACACGTGAGCGGGCAGAGCATCCCATTTACGGATAGTGCGACAAAGAAATGAGTCACCAAATTTCTTTGTACGCGTTGGAATTGTGGCCACAGTTAGGCGGTGACAACGTAGGCCGGTGCGTGGTCCTCTGAAGGAAAGGAGAAGGTGGAATGAGAGAGAATAACTCCTCAGAACACTCGCCGTGGTACAGACGACAGAACGCGCTTAGTGACGCTACGTCACGGCGTAATTGAAGAGGCTCAAGGTGTTTAGTCACCTCCTCATCGCCTATGATGCGGATCGCGCGCCGCTGTAACCTATCCAAAGCATCAAGCAAGTACTTTGATATTAGGCATCGTTGTGCCACAATGGGGTAATGATGGTGGCAGTGCAATGAATGAAGTCCCGATAATATTGGCCACTACAGAGGACATGGTGTCCAAAAGGAAAAATTAGTATATTATGATGATTTGATGGGAAAATGTATAACAGCAAAGAAGAAGAACAAGTTATTTTACATACTTTGGCCTACTGATTTATCGATTAGGTAACATTCTAGTAGACTTTAAAAGTTAGAAACAGACTTAAAAAATTCTGATCTTTTTTGTGTGTAGAATTCCTTAGTATGATAAACCTAATACAGTGTGACAACACCTAACTTTGCTGAAAATTTGTCACTTAAAAACGTCATTTTATGTTGAAATTATGTATTAAGTAGTGAACTGTGAAAGTGAATAAAACACTCTAAAAACATCTTTAAACTTCTAAAAACAAATTTTACACAACTCTCGGTACTCAAGTAAACCGATATGGGCACCCTACTCAACGTTTTCCTTAAGGATTGTAAAAAATGAGTTATCTTTTAAAATATAACACTTACTGGGACGATTGGTTATTCAAATTCTAGTACAACATTTTTTACAATTTCTGATGTAACTACCTTCTACCTATAAGTTTGGGTTTATTAAATATAGTTCAAGATAAGGATCACTCAGTTGGGACGATCGAGAAAAAACAAGATTTTCATTTTCTCTTAAACCAGTATGATTTCAATCCCGATCTTTGTTTCACAAATTTTCCCAGAAGCATAATTTATAATAAACATGATAATGTTTCATACTTTTTCAGTATAAGGTAGTGTTTTAAAAGATCACTCAAATGAACATAGTGCATTCTGAGTGATCCATATAAACCGTTCTAAATCTTAAACATGGCTTTGAAATGAATCGAAAATTTGTTTGGCAGCTTTCACAAATTCTTCACAATTATTTCAAATACAAATTATAAACACATAGGTAGTATATTCTTGGATACGCGTTATGACTTATTCTTCAGGTGTCCAGATTGAGTGATCCAGTTAATTAGTTCTAACTTTCTTTGTTTAGGTTACACAAATTTTATACCTTACCATTAAGTTTTCACAATTATTTCCTAAATCCTCTTATAATTTGGTTGTGATTGGATGCGTTTTTTGAAAAGATCACTCAGTCCACACGCACATGATTTCTGTTGTATTTTAATAATAAAAGCCTCGTGAAGTACTGCTGGCTCATTATAAATGGCGCCCAACGTGGGGCGACAACCCTAGATCACCCCCATATAGGCTCGTCAACCCTACGAGTTGCACGCTTGTGCGGTAGAGTCGAGCTGTGAGTATCCTAGCAACGCGCTCGAGTGATATAGAGAAGAAATATGATTATATATGTGATTTCCGTTGTAATTTTATAATAAATGCATTAAGAAGTACTGCTGGCTCATTATAAATGGCGCCCAACTAGCGGGTTCGACGTTGACAATACGCGTCGAACAAGATAAAATGACCTGCGACAAACAGTTACTGTTACCCTCTCCAATAGCAATGAAGCTGCGATTATAGACGTTGATACCACCAGCCTGCTACTGAGGGAAGATGAAGGATCAAAGTTATCTGGTGCACAAAGAATCCAGCTCAACCAGCTTGTAGCAAGTAAAGCTGCACGCTTCGCCACCGAAAGCCCACCAACAACCTTTGCCACCCACCATACTAGGGTTGACGAGAAACCGGAACCCAAAGCTTCACCACCCTACAGGTTGCCGCAGAGGAAAATAGAGTTGCTGGAAGGTGAGATTAGGAAGCTGCTGGTGGCAGACGTAATAAAGAATGCGAGTCGCCTTCGCCGGCGAATGTTGTTCTCGTTAGCAAGAAGAATGGAGGAGTTCGACTTTGTGTCGAATATCTACAGGTAGACCCACAAAAGACTTCCGCTATAGCTGACATGCCTTCCCCAAAGAATGTAAAGCAGCTCAAGAGCTTCTTAACTACATCCAGTTGGTTCAGGCGATTCATACCCAACTACGCTGCTATCGCCAAGCCTTTAACTTACCTCTTGAAGAAGGACAACACTTGGAAATGGCAGGATGACCAACGAGCAAGCTTTGAACGCATAAAACATCTCTTAACCACCGCGCCAATTCTCCGCCAGGCAGATGTGAGCAAACCATATTCGCTTAGGACGGACAGCAGTGGCTACTGCTTAGGAGCAGTGTTGATGCAGGGGGAGGGGCATGACGAGAGGCCTGTAGAGTACGCCAGTCGCCTTTTGGAGCCTGCGGAGCGTAACTATACCACCACAGAGCGAGAGGCTCTAGCCGTTGTCTGGGCGGTTACCAAATTCAGATGTTACATAGAAGGTTCAGAGGTTGTGATGAAGTCTGACCACCAGCCTCTACGCTGGCTAATGAGCCTAAAATATCCAAGTGGTCGACTTGCGAGATGGGCCTTGACTCTCCAAGAATACAATTTACAGATCTAATACACCCCTGGGAGAGCGAACGTGGTGGCTGATGCGCTAAGCCGCCCTGCTTGTTGCGAGAATGACACAAGCGGTTGCGATGTGTGCTTAATTACCCTAGACATGCCACACAGGACTCCTGCTGATGTGCGGGACAATCAGCTCAGAGATCCCGAATTCAAGTCAATCATTGAGGATTTGGAGGCAACCGAAGATTTGTTCAGGGGTAGGGGTTGGTCTACTAGGGGGTATTTGATGGGATATTGTATAGATGCGCACCAGAGTCCGAGGACACCGAGTCAGCGTGCCTTGTGGTCCCAACACACGAAAGGGAGAGTGTGCTCAAAGAGTTCCATGACGCTCCGACCGCGGGACATTTTGGCGCCGAGAGGACTCTGCAGCGCATTAGGTCCCGGTACTTTTGGCCAGGGATGAAAGCCTTCGTTACAGACTACCTGAAGCGCTGTGTGGCCTGTCAGCGCTACAAAGCACTCGCGCTAAACTCCGGCGCCAGCTCGAAGGTTTGAAGTGTTGTCAGTGGACTTATTCGGTCCATTGCCGAGAACTCCAAGGGGCAACAATTGGATTTTGGTCGCGGAGGATGTGTGCACTGGTTGGGTAGAGCTTTTTCCTTTAGAAAGCGCCACCAGCGTCGAGTGCTGGGTGCACATTCTTATATCAGAAGTATTCCTGAGATATGGAGTGCCACGTAGGATGATAAGCGACAACGGTGTGCAGTTTGTTGCCGAGGTGATGCAACAGGCCTGTCATGTGATGGTTATCAAACAGTCTCTGACGCCGTTGTTGTGGTATGTTGGGTGATGGCGGCAGGTTGTAATAAATACAAAGACGTAGATAGGTTGGTGTCCATTTATTGAAGAAGGCTTAATGGTACAAAACATACTTATTTATAATATTAGTGCACTACGTAGTTACACACACACACACTTATAAAATATAACACACAATATTATTACAAAACATCAGCATTTCACGTGGCCTACTTTCGTGTCATTCAATGTTGCGTTGTATTATTAATACATATTTATTAAATTATTTTCATACTATCACACGCCCCCCAAAAATCTCCATTACAC